ACAAGATGTGACTACTAAATAATTGTATAGTGTTATATAGTTGTTTGGTTTGTGACAATGTTAAAAGGATGTGACTACTAAATACTTATTTATTGTTACACAGTTTTTGGATTTGTGACAATGTTAACTGGATGTGACTACTAAATAATTTTATATTGTTATATAGTTGTTGGATCTGTGACAATGTTAACAGTATATGACTACTAAATAATTGTATATTGTTACACAGTTGTTAGATCTGTGGCAATGTTAACAGTATGTGACTACTATTAATTGTATAGTGTTATATAGTTGTTAGATATGTGACAATGTTAACAAGATTTGACTTCTAAATAATTGATTAGTGTTATATAGTTGTTGGATTTGTGACAATGTTAACAGTATATGACTACTAAATAATTGTATATTGGTATATAGTTGTTAGATCTGTGACAATGTTAACAGTATGTGACTACTAATTAATTGTATAGTGTTATATAGTTGTTAGATATGTGACAATGTTAACAAGATTTGACTTCTAAATAATTGTATATTGTTATATAGTTGTTAGATCTGTGACAATATTAACAGTATGTGACTACTAAATAATTGTTTAGTGTTATATAGTTGTTAGATCTGTGACAATGTTAACAGGATGTGACTATTAAATAATTGTATATTGTTACACAGTTGTTGGATTTGTGACAATGTTAACAGGATGTGACTAATAATAATTGTATATTGGTATATAGTTGTTAGATATGTGACAATGTTAACAAGATGTGACTACTGAATAATTGTATAGTGTTATATAGTTGGTAAATCTGTGACAATGTTAACTAGATGTGAATACTAAATAATTGTATATTGTTACACAGTTGTTGGACCTGTGAAGAACAAACCCAGCTGCCTGCTATATGCCTTAGGATATTTGTAACAGAAGACACATGGAGATGGGACAGAACAAAGATAATAGTCGTAGTTGAATTTTCTGACTTTAAACTGAAAAATAAAACTATCATGTAACTGATGTTCATGCTTCTAGTTCTTGTACCAGACTGGATTAGGTTGGTCGTCGGCGACCATGTAGAGCTTCCATGTAGTTGTTGTAGCAGACTGGACTAGGTTGATCGTCGGCGACCATGTAGAGCTTCCATCTATTTCTTGAAGCAGAGTGGACTAGGTTGATCGTCGACGACCATGTAGAGCTTCCATCTAGTTCTTGTAGTTCTTGTACCAGACTGGATTATGTTGGTCGTCGGCGACCATGTAGAGCTTCCATCTATTTCTTGAAGCAGAGTGGACTAGGTTGATCGTCGACGACCATGTAGAGCTTCCATCTAGTTCTTGTAGCAGACTGGACTAGGCTGGACGTCGGCGACCATGTAGAGCTTCCATCTAGTTGATGTAGCAGACTGGACTATGTTGATCGTCGA